TTCGCAGCAAAATTCATCACTGTCTCACCTTGAAACTCATACAAGCCATTGTACTTGATTCCTCTCATTATCACTAAGACACCTCGAGTGACTTTCGAAATTCCACATTCTGAGGTATAACAACACCCCAGTTGAATCTAAGGCACTCAAGGAAATCAGGTTCTTTTTCAACTCTGGAACATGCCTCACTTCAGTCAATGTTCTCACAATACTATCATGCATTTTGATTTTAACATTACACCTTAAAGCTCATACAAGCCACTGTGCTTAATTCCTCTTATTATCACCAAGGCACTTCGAGTAACTTTTGACATTCCACATTCTGAGGTATACCAACACCTAGTTGAATCTAAGGCAGTCAAGAAAATCAAGTTCTTTTTCAACTATGGAACACGATTCACTCCAGTTAATGTCCTCACAATACTATCATGCATTTTGATTCTAACATCACCAACACCCACAATATCGCACTCAACATTGTTTCCAAGCTGTACTTTACTACTATTCATACATTGATAAATAGTAAACCAGTTCATATTACAACCATAATCCATCCGCCAAACGACAAATCATTAGTGACAAATAAGACATAATCAGTACTATCCGAATTACTATTAGCTATAACTGCAAAATCATCAATAGACTCAACTCAATTCCCTTACCATTGTTGTTTTTCAACTTATGACAATCCATTCTAAGATGCCCCCTCTTGTCACAACTCTAACGGACAACACCACCAATCCTAGACTGACTACATCTGTTCGAGTTTATACTACTTCTGCTAACATAAGTACAAGTTCTTCTTCTATTTTCACCTACTAAAGCTATAGACACTGATTTACCACATTCTCTTCTGCAGATGTCATCACACATAAGCAAATCTCGAATCTCATCAAACGTCAAGCTTGTTGATCTAGATGAATTATTAACAGCAATAACAATAGTATTTCAACTATCAGGCAATGAGGATAATAGAATCAAAATATATACCTCATCTTCAAAGTCAATTTCAACTGAACTCAACTGACTAACGATAACATTGAATTCATTGATATGATATGAAATTAGCACACCTTCACTCATCTTCAAATTAAACAGACATCGCACTAAATAGACCTTGTTGATCGCAGATGGCTTTTCATACATGTCCGATAGGGTTTTCATCAAGCCCGTAGTGGTCTTCTCTCTCACGATGTTAAATGCGATGTTACGAGCCAACGTCAGCCGAATAACACCCAACACTTGTCTATCCATCAATTCTCATTCAGTTCGCTTCATCAACTCAGGTTTCTCCCTAGGTAGGAATAAGTGCAAATTCCTCTGTATAAATAATCTCCAATTTGCATCTTCCAAAGACCAAAATCATTCCCATCAAATCTGTCGATTTTTACTTTTCTTCTTCCATCGCTATCGATTCACTTCTAACTTAATCAAGCCTAGCTCCGATACTAATTGTTGCAGAACAAGCAATTGGACAATAAAATAAATCAAATAAGATAAAAAAAATCGGACACCAGATTTACGTAGTTCGGTCGTAGTGACTTACATCCACGGGTAGATCAAGCGACACAACGGAAATTACAATAATACTCGAGTTATTCAAACATTCTCAGCATTTCCCAAGCCCCCAATTACACTCAATAACTCACACAGTATTTAACTCCAAAATTACTCATGAAATAATCTCTCAATCTCACGAAAGAATTAACAAAATTTTAACAAAAGAATTTCTTGGCCAAATCACTCGTACTTTTTCTCTGATCTCACGCACGAAGAAAACGCGAAGATGTAATTCAGAAAATTACCCATAGCCCACGCTTATCAACAACGGTGCCAGAATCAATGCATGAACAAAATATACTTTTGAACCTTTGACTCAAACGAGGATTTTATTTCCTGTTTTGTTTCTTCTTTTCTTTCTTTGGCTCCATCAACAAGTCCACACTTTTCCTCCTTTTCTTTATTGTTTTCTTTTCACTATCAAAGTTCTATTCCTTGACTCGAACGTGAAAAATATTGAAGTGGGCTTCAACGATGAAGCAATTTCCAAAACTTGGTCTCAGATTTCTCGCCTTTGTTTATTTATTTCCGAAATTCAGATTTTCGCTTTGGTCTCAAACTCGAGACATAATCTAACGGAGGGGAATACATAAAGCGTTATGGCCTTTTGCCACTTTCCGGAAAGCAGAAAATCCTTGTATATCGTTATAAAAAGCCATTAAAAGCTTAATATGAATAAGAAGAGTGCCAAGATTTCATGAAGATTTGTCGGTCGCATGGTCTGATCCGATTGTATTTAGGACGGAACACTTTGATCATTTTCCAAAAAGCCGTCTGCTTGGAGGAAAAAGGGGTTCCTTCAAGGTTACCTGTTGTTCCCTTCCCATTTCAGCCTTTGCAAATGTACTTGGAAAAGGCAAAGATCTACTTGCAACAGTGAAGCACAATCTGCTGAATTGCAGATCACACCATTAATGAAGAAAGATATCCTGAGTGAATTGAGGAGGTGCCATTTTTCTCTATGGCTCTAACCATAAATGATAGAGCAAACCCCTTTTCATTTCCAGCAACTCCTGAAAAGCTATTACAAAAAAAAAAAAGAAAAATTGTAAGTAAACCCCGCTCAATGTGAAGCAGCTGACTTATCTTGGTAATGATGGCCAAGCATGGAAGCGTGGAGGCAGCTTTTAAGCACCATTCTTGTGCTTTCGGTGATGCTGATATGAGTAAATTTGGGCAATCATGCAACTTCCTCATCACTGGTTCATCCATATATACATGTATGACATCATTCTATATGATGGTCAATTAGCTTTTCATTTATAGTGTATTTTATTGTGAAGGCCTGGCACAGAATTGCTTGCTTGTAAAATGATCAGAGGGTAAAGTCCATTGTCTGCCTCTAGTCTGGCAGTTTTTACAATAGCCAAACTGATTCATATAAAATGTTGTGATTGTGTAGCTTTTTTGTTGGAAACAATACTTAAATTTGTTTACTGGCAGAAAGTACTTCAAAAAAACATTCTTTTAATCGCGCAACCACGTTGCTTCGTTAGATCTGACATTTAGAGAGCACAACAAGGCTTGAATTTATATTGTTGTGTCTTGTATAATAGGAAACTGAACTGTTCTGTACTAAGCATGCTTAAACACGATTTGTTTATTATAGTCCAATCGGTGAATTTCGGGAAGAATTTCGATATTCTATAGAGAAGTTGACGGTGGCTTCTATTGAATCTGTTGATGGGAGTTTAATCATTGTGAGCCCACTGTCTCAAGAAGACAATCATTAAGGGAGTGATTGAGTCCTATTGAACGAGCAAGCATGCAATTCAAAAGGTGGAGAGGATCATGATTAGGGGAGCCCACCACCAATGATATCAAGCACTCTTTTTGACTATTGCAACACTTTTTTCCTTAAGGCTCAACTTTGGCAACTCACACTGAGGTAAGTTTTGAACAGCAATTGCTGATGCAATTTATTTTTTCACCCTTGAAACTATTATTCAAGCAATCTTTTATCCTCCCATATATTTTCCTAAACTGGACCTAAGTAAAACCTTAAACTGTTTCATCCCCTCAGGATCCCCAAAATGTAAAGCAACGAAAGGGTATTCCCACCTTCCAGGAAAAACAAAGATTTGGAGGAATTGGGGTCAAAGGGTGTAGGTACCGGCACATTAAAATAAGAAACGCATTTATGGAGCCCGCCGTCCTTGCAATGCAAACGGACAGGCCGCAGAGGCCCCTCTCGGAGCTTCGGCTCCCTCTCTTTAGTGAGGTTACCTCTTAACCAAGCACCAATGATCCAAGAAGAGCCCCTGGTTATGAGGTTGTCGACTATTAAACGCAGCTCAACATGCACACAATCAAATGTAGCTATTTTGCGCAAGTTAAATGGGGCTTGAAAATTTATTCGAAAAATGTGAATTGTCGTGATGGATCCAAAATCAAACAAGAGATCATAATTAAATAGATGAAAAAGGACATATAATTCCAAAAGTTCTTTTTAAACAGTGAAAACAATGTCGGATGTTGATGTATCAAGCAAATTTTGGACTGGTACTTTCAACGACAAAAGATAAAGAAAAGACATAAACATGGAAAAGAAAACTGTTTCTTTGCCCCCTTCTCCCTGTAGCAATCTTTTAGATTCCTTGGAGACTTGAGGACACGAATCACACTGTATGATCACAAAGAACAATTCGCTCATAGGGTTTTAGGTTAAGGCAACCACCACATTCACACTTGTGAAGGAAACTCCACTTTGGACTTCTTTTCAAGACTAGGGAAGGAAACTCCACTTTTTGAAGATCAAGTAGAAACCACTACCCTAATGTATAGCAACTCGTGCTCTACCGAATCCCTTTTGCTACCTCATTCCTGAATTTACATGTATTTTAGACTGAAAAATGCCATCCGACATTACAAGAAGCTTAGCAAAAAGAGTGTAAAATAGAAGATCCGATGCCCCTTGTTGAAAATATAACGTTTAGATTGATATCCATCACAACTTATGGAATATATATACTAGTATTGACGTTCCAACCAACTCTGCATTTCCATTTCCATTACTGCAAAAATACGGTCACGCGAAACTTGAGGACCCTTCAGTAACTTCTCGACACGCGACTTATCCATCAAGTTAGCACCTTGAATAGCTTTTTGCCTTGGCCCTTTGATCAAACTTCGGTGTCAAAACTAGGCTTGTTTCTTGCTTGAGCCTTTTGTTGGGTCTTTATGAACCTTTTCACCATTTTCTTCGGGTGCTTCCTTCTCAATTGCTCATACAACATCGGCACAAGAGGTGCTTTTCAGAACTAGAGGCCACATAACAAGATTAGAATAATTTTCAGGGTAGCGTACATGCAAAGCTAAGTTCAAAGGCCAAACTCTAAAGGCATTCCTTGCTTCTTTTCTACCAACTTTACTTTCCTACCAAGCTTAGAATTGTTGTGCTTCGTATATAACATAGCTGAATTGTAATATAGCGTCACATACCTAGACGAAATCAAACTCATCCCAAGTCCTTGAAAAAAATGCCAGTCTACCCATCTGATTCCGACAACGACACAGCGCCACCGGGGAAACTGTTTGGTCGCACAAGGCCGATGCACGAAGTACTTGGTGGAGGACAAGGTAGTGAGTGACCGTATATATAAGTTCCTCTATACTCTGTAAGGCATTTTGAGGATTTAATCGATAGTGCATTTGCATTGATAATTGAGTGTTTTGAGATCTTATTGAAAAAAGGAGTCCTTGCCGATCATGCACTCTCGTATATACTCAGGAAAAGCTACCGATCAGATAACGATTTGAGGTTTCTTTCAGTTGTCTTATACAAGAGGTTCTCACAGAAATTTTCCATATAAAACCTTAATTATTTCAGGACAAGGTTTATCATACTTTAAATGTTATCAATCTATACCCATACCTTCATCTCTATCAGCTGATCACATAGAAATGCACTCAATCTGCCTGTGAGTCATGAGTGTAGTACCAGAGGTTGACTAGGTGTTTCTCGTTAGCCTCTCTGCAATAAGTAGTTCCCTCCCTCTTGCTTCTGTTGTCCTCCATTAAGGTCTTGGATCCTCGTCTATTTCTCCGTGATTTTTTCGCCGGCCTTTGACTGCGCAGTGGCGGATATATTGCTGTGGAGGAACAGAAACTTCTCCGCGGCACTCTTGGCCGGGACGACGTTGATATGGTTTCTGTTCGAGGTCGTGGAGTACAATTTCGTGACCCTCTTATGTCATATCTCCATCACAGCAATGCTGGGGATCTTCATATGGCAAAAGGCCGCAGAGATCATGAATTGGTGCTTCTCTTAACCTCTTCTGCAATACCATAATCATCTCAAAATCGTCCCACAAATCCCACTTTTGACTAACCATTCCCCAACTTGACCAATTAATCTTCTCAGGGAAGCTCCCCAGATCCCACAGGTCATGTTTACGTTTGATTATGTCGCTTCAACCTTTCATGGAAGATTCAACCAGCTCTTGTCGAAGCTGATCGACATTGCAAGCGGGAGAGATTTTGGTCAATTCATATTGGTACAGACTCGACCAATTCTTTGCTCTTCCTAAAATTCATTGTCAACGTCAATTAGAAGCATTGAAGCAATTCATTGTTTCCCTCAGGCAATTATCATTCTCTACGTGTCGTCAGTGATTGGAAGCTGCTTCAGCTTCTTGAACCTCCTCTATCTGGGTAAGATTATTCTCATCCGCTGGTCAATTTGAGATCTTGTGGTAACGGTTGCCGACATGGCTTGGTTGATGTCGATATCAGGGCTTTTCTGCATGGAGACGGTGCCATTCCTGTACGACCGGTTCGAGGAAGAAGTCGACATGCTGGTTGGCAGGATGGTAAGGGAGATGAGGAGGGTTTACAGAAGGTTTGATGCGCAATTTCTGAACAAGATTCCGAGGGGGCCGGTCAAAGAAAAGAAAACCAGATAGATTCATGCTCATACGACTACATAGACATAAAAGTCCGACGATGCCAGAAGCTTCATACCCCACAGGAAGAGTTAATTTCTTTTTGTTGTAAAGTAACTAAGCATGTAATTATATATGTAAATGGTGTCTGCGAAATTCTTGCAGCTTAGTAAAAATCAAATAAGATGAATGAATCAACAGTTCACGTGAGAACAGAGATTAAGTTAAAAGAAGCAACTTGGACCAGCATCTTCTATGAATTTCATTACACCCAAATCTGCCAGAAGGGGAATCGAATTGCAGCTTGCATCTGGAAGCTGCAATCAATTTGTCAGAGAGTAATCAACTAGCAGCTAAACCATCTGAGTGCCTTCTCCAGCAACTTCAGAGACATTTAAGCCAGATTATTAACATAATTATCTCTAAACTGCAAAAGAATTAGAAGACCGGTTCTTTTCCATGAATTTCATTGACCAACGGCTAACTAAAGTAGGTTAAAATAGCCAATGTGGATCAAAATATCACACCGGTACAGTACTTGAAGCCCTCATCTTTTCTGTCTTGGCACGTAGCCTTTCCATGAACGCGGGGTTTGCTCTTAGTCTGTCCTTGACATATGAAGCTCGGGCGTCATCCACCAGCTTATTAGCTTTACCGGCCTCCTCAATGAGGGATAACAAAGTCCGAAGGCAATCCTTTCTATTTTCTTCTCTATGCTCAAACCTGCGATGGCGAGAAAAGAACGTTTAGATCAGCAAGGGATTATGCAGTACAAGTTGCCCAAGTACCGATAAAGGTGCAACCGCACACAAATTTATGCATTTAAATTAGTTAAACAATTACATGCAAGTACGTGTGAACATGATTATGTCATAACCTTACAAGAGACAGACAAGTCTAGCTAATAGTCCTTAGCAAAAGAAACAAGATGCAGAAACATAGACCCATCACCCAAAATCATGGTAAGAGAAGAGTCGTCTCCATGTAAGGAAGGTACCATTTCTTGATAGTTAATGGCCATTCAGGAACACAAAAAAAAGGCCATGGTATGTATATTTACCACACAATCTGGAAAAAGAATTAAACATGTCTTTTCTTACTTAACATTACCTTTCACTGGTGATCATGAGCTCGTCTTTCCCTGGATTATACCGCTTTCCAACAAGTTCTCTCAGACGCCGAAATTGATACTTTGAAAGCCCGAGCTCTTTCACAGTCACAGCCATTTTCACCTTCCTATTCTTTGGATGCCACGCATCACCACCGGGAGCAAACACTACACGGGTTTGCCAACGAAGTATTGGTCCCTCACCTGGTGGGTCATCTGAATCTTTTTTCTTATCAGGGACAGCAGTCTCATCAAACTGTGGGGCTTCCTTTTCCATCATCTTTGCATATTTCATCACCATCTCATCTTCAAACTTCTTAAATAGTTCGAAGGCTTCTTCAGGTTGAAGCTCGCCTCTCTCACACATATCTCCCAACTCATTGAACTTTTCTTCCACTTCTTTCTTCATCTCATCTGCAGAAGCATTTCATTGAGACAAAAATCCAGCAAGACAGCTGCAACTTAAAATATAACAGAAGTGCAATAGACGATAAAAAGGAGAATCATGTAACCAACTTGCAATGAACTATGAAGGTAAGAAAGAAATAAATGAGGCTCCAAAGATCATAATTTCATCACCACATTCATGACCTTAGTGTAACACTAAGGAGTGCATCCACGAAGTAAGGAGTCTTAGGAACAACTTAAGGGCCCCATCTCCTTTTCAAACAAAAATGGGAGTGTGCATGAAAAAATTCTAATGCAGTTAACTCCAAGCCAAAAGTAAAAAAAAAAAAATCATGCAAATTAACATTGTACTTATTCTTCACTTTGGCTTGCACTCGCTGAACTCTTAACTCTAGAGATCCATTCAGTTAGAGGTACGCCTGTGTCTGCTTTGACTTTATTCACACAATATCAAGCACTTCAGAACCGAAGAACAGAAACATACCTGGAAGAAGCTCATCCCAAGAAAGCATGTCCTCCAAAACCTGCTCACACTCCTTGGTGTCCATCAAGTAACCATGCCTGACCGCCTCCTCAACGATTTCGTCCCATTTCTTGTCGTCCATATTGAAGTACTCATCTTGCACCATTCTCTTCATCACAATGTCTCTCGCATTGTACAAGTTGTCGATCTCCTCATCCGTCTCGTGCAGATCCTCGAAATCGGATTCAAACTCGGCGTCCTTAACATCATCAATAGGCTGCATCTGGAGTTCGTCCACCAGCTCGTCGTCCGTCTCCTCGTGCTTCCCCGCCGACTTCCTCTGCAGGATTGCTTCCAGGATCGACGGCAGGGCCTCCTCATCGCCCTTGAAGTACTTCTCTATCCTCATCTTGAGCTCTAAACACAAACGAAAGAACGAAACGAGGAACAACGAATGAACAACCCGGCCCAACAGAGCAAACTTCAAAGAGACCAAACCCCTGCAGAATTCATTCAAAAGGCGAGACCCACAAGGCCTACGGGAACAGAAATGTCGAAAGCATCGAACATTTACAAATGTAAAGACGAAGCAACATCTTCCAGGGCAATATTTAGCTACGACCAGAACCCATCTCAGCAATGCGCAGGACACAAAACGCGATCTTCAGCAGACACGACCAGATGAATGCGATGCGAAGACCCAATGATGACCCGAATTGAATCCCCGAAGCAGAGGCCCGAAGATCTCACCTTTATTGCCGACATCCTTGACATCGAGGGAGGCCGCTTTCTTCTGAGACGCGGCGTGGACCGCGACCTCCTTCGCCTCCGGCGGCGCCAAGCCCGTCTCGGAAGGGGCGGCGGCGGCGGCTTCGGGGGTTTCGCCGGAGGAGTCGTCCCCGGAGGAGTAGAACCTGGGCAGAGGCGGAGCACGCTCGGAGAACGATGGGGGCGAGGGGTTTACGGCGGGTTTAGCGGTCGGAGGGCGAAGGAGAAGGCCTCGTGCGTAGATGGAAGCGTTTCTCAGTACTCTGTTCATGGCTGTCTCCGTCTCTCTCTCTCTCTCTCTCTCTCTCTCTCTAGGGTTTTACGGTGGTTCTTGGTTTCATCATAGCCATCTCATGTTAAGTAAAAGGGCGTGCAAAAGGAACCGATGACCACCCGGATCTTTGGAACCGGATCGGATCAGTTCAGAATCAGTGGTTCTTAAGAGAATTGACGGGTACCGGTCCGGTTTGATATGGAGCTGCTCACCCGGACCGGACTGATAATATTGTGTATTCTAATTCTTTTGTATTTTGTCATCAAGAGGGTATCATTTTGCATCGAATTCGATGGTGATAATGTCAAGTATGAGAATTAAGATGAGCACAAGATAATAGTTGTCGGAGGATCAATAGAAATTTGAGCGTTAGATGGACTTGGACAAGCAAATGGGTGATTGGAGATTTGATTGCATTCGATTATCTACAAAAGTCGAAGAAGTGCAACAAATATGGTCAAAAGATATTTGAATGGAGAGAATTTTGAGGAAATGATGGTGAATGGGCTGGTGCAATATTTGAATGGAGAGAATTTCAATGGATGGATTTTGGGAACAACTTTGACAGGAAAGATTGGTGACAAGCGTCAATCGATCAACACCAAACAAAGTTTTTCTTTCCAACTTGCAAGGACAAAATCGCAATTGATGCAGCAATGGAAAGGGGATCTTGATGGACAAAAACCAAGATGAAAAGTTCTAATAGAATGGTACAGCTTGGGCAATCTTCTTATCCTCAATCCCTATTCCAATTCCTCTCCAAACCGAGCGGGGGAAGGCAGCGAATGCCAATGTTGTCGGACTTGCATCGTCGAGATTAGAAATGTCGGAAAAAACTGGGCTAATGCCACCAGGGCCACAATATCGCTAGAAACCCGCAAAGTATTAGTCAATGATACCAACAAGTCTAATAATGTTGATGGAGGTCCATCGTTGCAGAAACTATCACGACAGAGCATTAGAAGTCATTGGGTTTGCTGCAAGTGACTCGGCCAAGCAAGGACTTCGTGACTAGGCTTCATGTGAAGCTTGGTGCAGTTCAGTTCTTGGATGGATCCATGGAACCAACGGGCGGTTCCCGATTCCAATTTTTTTGTACTGGTCATGAGTGGGTGGTCCCGATTTCAGGGTGGGAACTGCCCATCCGGACCGTGCTCACCCCTAATCTTAAGCTGAAGCTCACTCAAAAGAGTCAACAATTAGAGCTAACTGAAAATAAATAAATAAATAAGAGAAAGGGGAAAATCGGACTTGAATTAGTAGATAACGTGTATATATATATATATATATATGAAAAAAAGTACTAAAATTATATTGGATGTACGAGTCATACCATCTTAAAATAAGAAATATATATATCTAGAAGGACACATACAGTACATAACACCACGACCACGGCAATGCCTATTTGGAATTGGTCGTGATTTTTCGGATAATTTTGTATCGTCGCATTGCCCTCCAAAATCTAATTATATCGGCAGATATGATGTGTAAATCTAATAATTTTCGTCTATATTTTGGATGCCGATAGCTTATACAATATTTCTGATTCTGAGGCTTTACCTCTCATCCATTAGCTTACTCTATTAAGTCATTTTTGGGCTGATTAATTTCATCTTACTTGGGTATTGATTGCTCTGTTGTAATGAATTTATTTTCCCAATCAACTTCCTATCTCTACTATCATACAGGGACTAATACAAAATAAAGTACTAACATTTCTCGCGATAATATATTTAAGATCCTAAATTTTTCATTTCGTACATTTAAATCCTAAAACTTGCAACTTGGATGCACTTAACTCCTTTGATCAACTCCGTTGATTTTAAGTGGACGGAAAATGCCGAGGGACCCTTTTATTATTTCTGTCGATCCTATCATGGCCGTCAATAAAAAAAACGAGAGACCACCCGGGTTTTCCTTCCGAGTAAAGTGGAGCCTCGAATGTATGAAATGCGAGTTTTAGGACTCATGTGATAAGTTTTCGGTCACTTGCCACAGTTGCCGTACTTATGTATATCACATGAATAGTTCCCTCAATTGAAATTGATTTTGATGAAAGTGGCTCCATTGACCAGGATCTTTCACCATGAATCAAGATCATCATTTACGAAAGAGAGTATCTTGACCATGGAAGGACTCATTTCATATGTGAAACCCTATGTAATGTCTGCTAAGCTACTAATCCAAGAATCTACGTGCAATCAATACTCAGATGAATTTCGTTGGGAAATGTCCCAAGAGTCTCGTTAAGTAATTGGATGAGTGCCACTGATCCACATGACCAAATCAAAAGACATGATCTTCGGGTCTCTTATGTCATTTTGAGATGGTTGCTGATGATGAGGAAGGAAAGACACCAAGCAGCAGCAGCAGCAGCAAAAGAAATTAGTCACTTCTTTCCTGGGATTGGGAGGAAACAGAGACGAGAGATAGGAGAGGAAAGACACTTCATCTCGTCCCTCTCGTACTGGCGTTCACCGCATTTATCAGGCAGTAATACCTGTTTATCCAAATTAATTTCATCGATACGGGATGCGGACCACGGTCCTCCTACCCCAAGAAAGGAGAGACTTTTGCTTTCATTCTTCATCATCAATCATCAGGCAATTTGGCCGTGCCGAATGTTAGCTCGGCCAAGACAGATAACAAAACCTAAAACAATGGAACAAGCTCCCCTATCAGTGTCGCTGTAACGCCACGCTAACACAGTCAAGTCACTGAATGTTTACCAGTGAAGCACTGGGCGATTAATGACTATGACAGTCGGAGCTGTGACCAATTTAGTGCACATTCAACTCGTTTTCCTTTGCTAACTTTGCTCAACCTCATGCGCTGTTCTTTGGGATGAGCTCACCAGAGAGAGTATGCGCTCTGAAATCTCTGCCGAAGCCTCAGGCTTTGCTGCTTTCAGAGCCCGCTCTGACATCACAGCCAACTGTTTTTCATCTCCTGAAAAGAGGCAAAACAAAATTTGGTTATACTCCATCTGCTGATTTTAGGTCCACAAAAATTATCTTAGTCCGGTTGCATCTTACCTAACATCTCTTCAATTGCCACTTTGAGGGTGGCTGAATCAAGTTCATCTTCAGTTATGATCCTGGTTCCTGCTAAATCTGCCATTAAAGAAGCGTTTTTGAACTGATGTCCCTCGTCAACGTTGGGTGATGGGATCTACAAAGCCAATGAGAGATCGCTGGTACTTCAGCTTAGAGATACAAAAGCATCAATCTCTGTATGAGAGGATTGCTTAACTGCTATCCAACTAGTAGTTGTATCGTTCACGCAATATGTGACATCAAGCAAGATTGCTGCTTACTCTACATTATTTAGTTATTTTCATGCATGAAGTGCTTGATGGCTAAATAAAGAAATTATTGCATAGATTGACGAAAACTACTACTATAGAATAATTCAACACTAAGTCCTCATACCTTTTATCCAACCCTCAAAACAAGGAAGAAGAAGAACAAGAAGTATCCGATGGGAGACAAAAAGAACACAAATATCTACATTTATGCCAAAGTATAAATTACATCTATCAGAGAACAAATCATCCATTTATAGATGAATAGTTACTTAGCACTAGTTCTGAACCCAAATCACTTGAGACCTCCCATGGCATTTTAATTAACATTATACTAAGGATGAAAACCATGGACCTCGCTAGCAATGATGACATTCATGACACTTTCCAGATATAATGATTGCTCTCCAACATCTTGCTGAGTTCTTCTCTGGTAATTTAGATAAGAGATTATCCAGAAAGATGATTTATGTCGAGCAACTTTCTCCCGATTTATGCACCCATTAAAGTTTTCTAATGAAAGAGGACTCGCAAAGCCAATGAGCAAAAACTCTATTTTGTGTAGTCATTCTATTATAAACTATGACAGCAATATGCAGTGATCATACAGTGATGGATAAACTGGTAACAAAAGAATTCTTGTACTACCAGGATGGAAGGTTTTCCAGTTGCCAAAATTTCAGAACAAGTCATTGCACCAGCTCTGGAGACAATCAGGTCGGAAGCTGCATATGCCATATCCATGGAGCGCAAGAACCTTGAATTTCGCAAATAAGTCAGATCAATAGATAAAAGAAGTATCATCAAGAAAAGCCAGGCACCATGAGACAAAATGCATACACTATAGTAGACATACTTTATCCCTCAGACCAGATGATGAGGAGAATATTCACAGGACTCAGAGGTGCCTACGACAAATATAACACCCATCCCGTCCGGAAAAATGAAGTTACTGCAATCTTAAGGAAAAAATGACTTGCCTATGATGCAACAGCTGCTTATTATTGGCAGAACAGACTTGGGTTCACCCTTATCGAAAGTCTTGAAACCTTCTCTTCTCAATGATATAATATATGATGATAGGTGGTAATTTTGTTCATAACATATAAAAGTGGCATTCTCTGAAGCTGACTGCAGCATAAGTAGGTAATAATGTTTCCTCAAAACTCTTTATGATAGCAAACCTTCAATGTTGGCTCTTTCTTGATTGTCCTATTCCATCCACATTTTTATATTTCTATCGTGCATATAGTTAGTCTAATAGTGCCAGATTAATTCCTCTATCCCATGGAGGAATGACAGCATGTCGATTCAATTTGAGACTTCCTTCAGCAATGCATACTTTACCCCCAACAAAGAAACTAGACAGCCTTAAGTCGGACCATGCCATAATGAGAGAGATAGCTAACTAGTCAACCATCAAATTTAACAGTACTCACGGCCGCAACAACAAGCGGGGATGATTTCTAACGAGGCTTTCCATCTCGTCAAACGACTCCACCCCAGTTTGCCATATGATGAACAAGTTCTCGTTCTCCATCAGCATCTGGTTATACAAATTCAGCAAGGCGATGTTAATAGTATAAGCACCCAAAGAGCCGCCGAGCACCAAAACCACTTTCACCCCCGAATCACCCACGCTCTCCACTTTCGGGAAGAAATATAACCTTGCCTCCACCTTGGAAACATTCCTCTTCAAGGCCAGCCTCACCGGGTTCCCGCACACCACGCACTTATGCTTCGGAAAGGAATCTACCGTCGAATTGAACGCGACAAACACAACGTCCGCAAAATGTGCGAGGATCCAATTAGCCAAACCGGGAAGTGCG